GATTAACTACGTATACGCTAACGGCGATGTTTATTTCAATCCGAAATTAAAATATGGAATAATATTCATTACAGAAGCTCTAAATATTACAAATGTAATTGAAACTTACCTGCTTGAACTTGATCGGGGTGTTTTGTTAGTTTGATGCGTTTCCTCCTCTTGAGGTCGCCACTGCTTTTAAGAAGAGGTTGCCAGGTTTTCACAACAAAACCCACCCAATCGCGTTTCGAGGGGGTCCCCTGTTAAAATTCGCGTTCCGAGGATAAAATACGCATGTTTTGGCGGGGTTCCCCTGGTAAAATTCACATTCCAGGGGCTAAATATCACGTTAGTGGGGTCGTTTTTCAACTCGCGGACATGAAAAACAACCCGCGGCAACAGTGTTAAAGCAGCCCAATTCCGTGGGAAAAACGCGGACTTGGCAACACTGGAAGAGGATAGCTTTCTGATAGCGCATCAAGAACCGGGTTGACCGGGTACTCGGTACCACCGGTACTTAAGAAAACCTGGTACCGTAACGTTTTCATTTTTTTAGTACCGACTTGGTACTGAAATACCGGATCTTTTGACAACACTACTTTGAATACATTTTTAAATTAAATATATTCCTGTGATGCAAAGCTGAATTTTCAGCATCATTACTCCAGTCCAGTTTCACATGATCGTTCAGAAATCGTTTTAATATGCTGATTTGGACAAGCAGACATCTTTCAAAAACACTATAAATCATAATTATTATATACTTTTGAGTGGCAGTGAAAACAGGGAAGTTTTTCACAGAACAACACAACTGATAGTGTCATATATAGTTTTCAGTAGCAGTTAAACATCATTAGGTGAAGTGTGTATTGTCCAGATGTAACATTAGTAGGCATTTGACTGTAAAAATTATTTGCTTTTAAGAGCAAAGTTACCGCTGCTGAAAAGAAATTGCAGGACATTCAGAAGAAGCTGTGCTCTCTTAGAGAAGAGCAGGAGCATTTGGCAGAGGAGAGCCGTAAAATGAAGGAAGAAATTAAAGTCAAAATGAAAGCACAGAAAAATCAGGAGGTGAGATTTCTTTGTTTTCTCTTTCTGTTAGTTACTGTTACTGAAGTCAGAGTTTTTGAAGACACCTGCTCACACATGTACTTTAAAGTGCCCCTATTATGGGTTATGAAAGGTTCATATTTTGGTTTTGGGAGGATTGGTCTCATTTTCATTTCATCTCGCCTGTAATGTCTGATAAAGCAGTGTTTGTGAGCGCAGTGCTGCTTTGTGTACAGCGCTACTGGGTAAACCGCTATTTTTACGCTCCAAAAGCTGCACCTAGTGGCAAAGAATGAGCGAAAAGACCAACAAGTGGGCGGGCAATATGCTAATGTTTCATGTTGACTTCAACATGAAACAGCTTGGGATTCGTTTTAAAAACGACTCTTTTCAATGATTCAGAATCGACTCTTTCTTTTGAGAGACAATAACTTTATACACGGTGCACTTTCAGATTTAAAACTTTGCAGGATGTTTTCATTCACTTAGAGCTGTGTTACACACTGCATGAAAGGTAATTTTCAAAAATCCATAATAGGGGCACTTTAATATCTCAAGCTATGTAATAGCTGCATTCGTTTTAAATGAAGACATGCATCTCTCTACAGTTAGGATAAACATTTAACATTTACATGTGAGCAACATTTGCCTGTTTGTAGTGTTTTTATTATTAAAGGAATATGTCACCCAAAATTCGTTCTTCTGTGGAATACAAAAAGAGACATTTTGAAGAGCGTTTGTGCTCCTCTTTCCCAAGCAGTGAAGGCATTAAGTGATCAGAGGTTGTCAAGCTCCAGCAAAGGACAATAAATCTGCATAAAAGAGGACGATTTAACTTTTCAGGGATTGATAACCTAAATAATGACAAAAGACTTAAAATGTAGCTTACAAATTGTATGCAGATTGTTTGTCAGCTCCAGTCATTTGCTATCTTTGAATGGAAAAGAGCAGTATGAACCATCTAATTTTGTGTTGCATGGAAGGAAGAAAATCATATGTGACCATGGAGCACAAAACCAGTCTTAAGTCGCTGGGGTATATTTGTAGCAATAGCCAAAAAAACATTGTATGGGTCAAAATTGTCGATTTTTCTTTTATGCCAAAAATCATTAGTATATTAAGTAAAGATCATGTTCCATGAAGATATTTGGTAAATTTCCTACTGTAAATATATCAAAACTTAATTTTTGATTAGTAATATGCATTGCTAAGAACTTCATTTGGACAACTTTAAAGGCGATTTTCTCAGTATTTCGATTTTTTTGCACCCTCAGATTCCAGATTTTCAAATAGTTGTATCTCAACCAAATATTGTCCTATCATAACAAACCATACATCAATGGAAAGCTTATTTATTCAGCTTTCAGAAGATGTATAAATCTAAATTTCAAAAAATTGACCCTTATGACTGGTTTTGTGGTCCAGGGTCACGTATGGGTTTTAAAAGACCTGATGGAGAGTAAATGATTACATGGTTTTAATTTCTGGGTGAGCTACTGCTTTAAGTTAGCAGATTTTTATAAAGAGGGTTCTTCTTGATTTCTAAAGAGTTTGTTTAGATTTTTAGAATGCCAGTTTTTTTTAGGTGGTTTACTTCAGCGCTGAGAATAAATTGAAACAATTAGAAAAGGAGCAATGCCTTCTTCAGGAGCGAATTCACAAAATAAGTCATGGGTGAGTCCATTTGTTGAGGGAACATCTCTACTTTTAGGCTGTTCATGTCGATAAATTGTTTAACATCATGCTGTGTGTTTGACTTAGTTGAAAATGTAATTAAAGTAACTGAGTAATTTGATGACGTTTTTAGCAGTGGCAGAAGAAGCCATGAGACTGAGCAAGCACAGCATCAACAAAAAATATCTGCCTTCAAAAAGCAGCTGGAAAAGCTTGAGGAAGAGTCCAGCACTCTGAATCAAGAGATTAAGGACAAACAACAAGCTCTGTTTAAAGGAAGAGAGGAATATGATAAACTGAGGTAAAGTCTTGCAACTTTATTTCTTATGGCAATTGACTGGACAGTGAAGAGGAAGACAGGAAAGTGGAGGGACACAAGGCATATTCAAACATGCTTTGCCATAAACACGATGGCTTTAATATGTCGTGTGGCACGGCTTTGACTTGAAATTGACCTCAAATGAAAAAATCCACTGATTTTTTGCAGTGCTGTCAAACGATTAATCGCGATTAATCGCATCCAAAATAAAAGTTTTTGTTTACATAATGTATGTATGTGTACTGTGCTTATGTATTATGTATGTATAAATACACACACATACAGTATATATTTTGAAAATATTTGCATGTATATGCATTTATATATTTATATTTATATATTTTATTTTATATATATAATATATAAACAACATATTTTTCTTAAATATATACATGCATGTGTTTGTATTTATATATGCATAATAAATATACACAGTACATACACATATATTATGTAAACAAAAATGGTTATTTTGGATGCGATTAATTGTTTGACAGCACTGATTTTTCCTTTGTAAAGAATATTTTGCATTATGAAAACTGTTGCAAAACCAATTGTTAATGAGTAAAATGTGATAAAGATGTTTGTGCAAAAATGTGTGATATGACCACTTTAAATATACTGTTGAACCATCTGTACATGATCTTTATTTTGATAAATTACAGTTTTAGAGTTTTTATACATTTTTTAGCATGGAGGAAAAGAACATCCAGGTCTCTCTGGAGTCCAAACTGAAGAGAAAAAAGCAGCTAATGGCCAGCAGATCCAACAGACTGAGACGCTTTGGCGATCACATGCCAGAGTTGTTGGAGTCCATCAACAAAGCCTTCTCTCAGGGCCGATTCATCAAGAAGCCTGTGGGACCAATAGGTGAGAGTCCCTCAGTATCTTCAGATTATTCACTCACTCTTGCAAAGAATTACTCATAATCTTTTTTAATCATCACCAGGTGCATGCATCAGCCTAAAGGATCCCAGTTTAGCCGTGGCTGTGGAGAGTTGCTTACGAGGTTTAATTAAAAGCTTTTGCTGTGATAATTACAGGGACGAAAAAGTCCTGCAAGGACTGATGTCCTCATACTTCCCCAGAGGCAACAGGCCTCAGATAATCGTGTGTCCATTCACGGACAGAGTTTATAACCTGCAAGACCGGTAAGAAATATTTGTGTCCAGAAATGGAGTCAGAGGTCTTATGAGGGTACAGTAAACATGATGTTTCTATGCGTTCTTGTCAGTGGAGTCCAGCATCCTGAGTTTCCATCTGTGCTGTACTGCCTCAATATCGAGAACCCAGTGATAACAAACTGCCTCATTGACATGAGGAGCATTGAGAGCATTCTGATTATCAAAGTAAGTTGTTAAGTAATAGGTTAATAAGTAAAAGCATTTATAATAATGGATAACACAGCGAGTGGGGTGCAAACATCTAAATAAAAGACCTCATTTGCATTCAGCTGATTAAGAATTGTGTAAATATTTTCGTTTTTTCATTATAGTTTATATGTGCAAAAGTTTGGGATTTTTAGGGCCAGATTTACTAAACAGGGTGAATTAGCATTAGAGTGCAATTCAATAAAAGCAAATACCAGTGAATTGACGAGCGCAAATCTTACTAAATCGCGTTGCGTGATTCATTTAAATACTCTCCTCCCATAAATTTACCAATCAAAAGGGAAACTCATACAAATGCATATTCAATAAGGTGAGTCGCAAAAATAACTCCGTCCACGCCTTTTCAGCGCTAATTTCTTGCTACGTGGCTTTAGTAAAACCTGACAGTAGTTTTTTAACAGCAAATGAGGGTTTGCACTGGTGCAAGCTGATAGTAAATCTGTTTTTTAAAGAAGTTTCTTCTGCTTACCAAAACTGCATTTATTTAATCAAAAATACAGTATAAACAGTAATATTGTGAAATAATATTACAAAGAAAAATAAAATGACTGTTTTCTATTTTAATATACTTTCAACTATAATTTATTCCTGTGATGCAAAGCTGAATTTTCTTCAGCCATTTCTCCAGTCTTCAGTGGCACATGATCCTTCAGAAATCATTCTAATGATTTATTATCAATGTTGGAAACAGTTTTTGTGGCTTAATATTTGTTTTTAGAACCGCTGATACTTTTTCATGATTCTTTGATGGTTATAAAGTGAAAAAGAACAGCATTTGTTCAAAATAGAAAGCTTTTGTAACAATAAACACAAAGTTTGGGCTCGGTACGTTTTTATTTAAAAAAAAATGTATTCAATTTATTTATTTTTATAATTTTATTTAAATTATTTTATTTAATTAAAGTAATTAATTATTTTATTCTGCAAGGATATGTTAAATTGATTTTAAAAAGTGATAGTAAAGACTTATACTATTACAAAGGATTTCTTCAAAGAATCCTGAAAAAAAGTATCCAATATGAATAATAAATCAGCATATTAGAATGATTTCTGAAGGATCATGTGACGCTGAAGACTGTAGTAATGATGCTGAAAATTCACAGGAATAAATTATAGTTTATGTTAAAGTATATATAAAAAGAGAAAACTATTATTTATACTGTAATAATATTTCACAATCTATCTACACTACCGCTCAAAAGTTTGGGATCAGTAAGACATGTAATATTTTTTAAAGAAGTCTCTTCTGCTCATCAAGGCTCCATTTATTTGATCAAAAATACAGAAAAAAACTGTAATCTTGCAAAATGTTATTACAATATAAAATAATGGTTTCTATTTGAATATCCTTTAAAATATAATTTATTTCTGTGATGCAAAGCTGAATTTCCATCAGCCATTACTCCAGTATAAAGTGTCACATGATCCTTCAGAAATCATTCTAATATGCTGATTTATTATTAGAATTATCAATGCTGGCAACAGTTGTGCTGCCAAATATTTTTTTGGAAACTGTGATACTTTTTTCAGGATTCTTTGATGAATAAAA